AAAAAAATAATAAATGTTCCGTATATACTCAAATGTTCGTCCTCGGCACCTTATGCCAACATTGTAAAAATGACAGATTAATGTTACATAAGAACATGAAATTTTATAAAATTCGTAAATTTGAATTGCTATAACTTTTCATTTTCTTGGTCAATTTTCACAAATCAAATTGCGGTTTATAGAAGCATTTAACAAGCTCGCGGTAAAAAAAAAATCAAATGTAACAGACATTGCGAAGTGCCCAAAATTAATAAAATAAAAACTAACACCATAAAACGAATGGCACGCATAGACTAATAATTGGCTGTTACTCGCAACAGTATCGGATTGTCGATGCCACAGTAAAGATCAAAGGACTGTACGCACGCGTTATGTTCGAGAGCGGAGATGTGCGTCCTTTTGTTGAATTACCTTGAGTACAGCTAGTTACCCATATCAAAGAGTATAAATAGAACAAGAGAGCCAACAACGCTCATTGGGAGCGTAAAAAAACGATACGCTCTACGCAGCTAGTGTAGGACGCCAACTAACGCTTGTATATGTTTTATTACCCAGTACTGCACCTGTCTCTTATACACATCTAGATGTGTATAAGAGACAGGCATACAACTTCTACCGCGCTGCGCAGCGCTGCACTGAGTAATAAAAAGAATATACAACCGTTAGTTGGCGTCCTACACAGGCATGACGTTTTTACGAACGGGACTTTGCTCTCTTGTTCTATTTATACTCTTTGCCCATATGTTTGAAACTCTAGCGTTGCGGTGTTTGGGTGGAATGTACACGATTTTAATTTTCATTCCTTGGTACTTTATTTTTGAATAAGATGCTCCACTTGGCCTCGTTTTGGCTACAATGGTTTGATAATTTGTTATTATCATTACTCATTATCATTAATGAAATAATAGTCAGTCAGAGGGCTTATTAATATGTAATAATATGTATACTAAGCCTGAAGGTGGCGCTTTACTACGACGGCCATCTTGGATGGTACACATACATAACTCTGCATTGCTGCGCCATCTTGTTAGCACTCTAGTTGTTTAATAGCTCTATGCAGGTAACTAGCTGTACTGAACTTTCTGAGTAAATTGAGGGCGCATTTGCAAACGATGGCGCTTAGCGAAATTAGATTGGCATAGAGCTATTAAACAACTAGAGTGCTGACAAGATGGCGGACCAATGCAGAGTTGTGTATGTGTCATAGAGGTATAATAAGAATAGCTCTATGGTATGTGTACCATCCAAGATGGCTGCTGTATGAAAGCGCCACCTTCAGGCTTAGTATACATATTATTACCATAAATAAGCCCTCTGACTGAATATTATTTCATTGATGATAATTAGTATTGATAATGACAAATTATTAAACTGTCGTAGCCAAAAAGAGGCCAAGTAGAGCATCTTATTCAAATATTAAAAAGAATTAAAATCGTGTACATTACACCCATACACCGCAACGCAAAGAGTTTCAAAATACGGGTAACTAGAGCTGTACTGAACTTTTTGTGTAAATTGAGGGCGCAATTGAAAATGAGAGTGCTCAGGGGAAATTTGATTGGCTGAATCTATGGCAGCCATCTTGGATGGTACACACACACAGCTCTGCGTATTTCAAACATCGAATACATTGCTGTTAGCGCTCTAGTATTCTTATTATATCTCTATGGTACACATACACAACTCTGCATTGCTCCGCCATCTTGTCAGCGCTCTAGTTGTTTAATAGCTCTATGGATTGGCTGAATCTATGGCAGCCATCTTGGATGGTACACACACACAGCTCTGCGTATTTCGAACATCGAATACATTGCAGTTAGCGCTCTAGTATTCTTATTATATCTCTATGGCTCATATTCACTGCAGCGAAGTGACCTTCAGAAGCTTTGTTATCGTTTAAACTCGCTCATTTTATGAGGGGTAATTAATAGGCCTACCTTTGGTTTTTATGCATTGTTTGGGTCTTAAATATAATTTATAACAGTTTACTGTATTAGTTTAACAATTTTAAAATTTAGGCTATAATGGTCATTCATATTTTACGACGCACTTTTCCTAGCCAGCCTAAATCCGGATATCCCAGACCTGCTCACTAATGGTACGTTCCAGCTTTTTACCAGCTGGCAGAGAAATCTACAACAGTATGTTTTAGATCCTTTTGTGCCTTTATACATTAAATCAAACAATAACCCTCAGTATGATGTTGACAACATATTATTGAGTATGTAAAAGGTGAAAATAAAATACCTAAAGGAAATTGGCCAATTTAAGGCAAAAGGTACAACAACAGTACAACGCAGATTCATTAACAATGGCGGAAAGCTACACCAAGCTTCGCATTTTCGCGGCCATAAATGCCTATAAACCCACAAAATATATTTTGTGGATTTTTAGAAAGTTTACTTTAAATCACGCTAGTATTTGAATGTTGATAAAAGAAAAAGCCTGGGAATTTAAAAGAAAAATAATATTTAATAGGCCTTCCTACTAGAAGACGTCTATTCATTATAAACATTCATCCATCCATGCATTGGTATTCGGCATATGTAATTCTTATTAAATGAGAACATATAGATATACCTTAAAATCCCGGATTTACATGATAAATGAGAACAAAAAATCATCCATCCTACTGTTAGTGACCCATGTGATGAGGTATTACCACCACCTAATAATCAGGGGCAGATCCAGAATTTGAAAGAGGGTGCTTCAAAATGAAAAATGTTGATTCCTAGCCCGGAAATGAGGTTTTTTATTTTAATGACCGTTAAGTTCTTCAAAATTCAAGGTTTTTCTCCTCTGGAAAAGATCAGTAAGATAATTAAGTAACTTTATTGCTTCTCTTAAATAACAGATGCACATCCGTATAAGATGTGCAACAATAACAAAATCAGTATAAACTCAATTACTTAGAAAGTACTTAAGTTTATCTCATTCTTCAGGCCTCTATATAGAGAAAAAAGAAAAAGACATAGTGAGTGGATTTCCTGCACGATTAAAAATCGTAGCAGTAATGGGTTTGGTCTGCTTCGAAACACAATTACTTAGACCTACAAAGTACTTAATTTTATCTCATTCTTCAGGCCTCTACATAGAGAAAAAAAATACATAGTGAGTGGATTTCCTGCACGATTAAAAATCGTAACAGTACCGGGTTTGGTCTACATAAGTTCGTGCTTCGAACAGGTCATTCCATTCATAGAAAATGCCTTTTGATGGAGAAAGTGTACCTTTTTAGCAAGGTTTGCCTAACTCCGGCTATATAAAATTGATTAGCCAATCAAAAGTTTCAAATGAAACTTGATATAGACTTACTTGTACAGCCGTCTTTTTATTCACACTTCTTCACATACTCGCAAGGACGTCCGAACGTCATGTCGAAACTACATAACATAATGTGCAAACCACATAAAATAATGACCAAACCACATAACATAATGACCAAACCACATAACATAATGAAAAAAACCACATAACGTCATGACCATTCCACATAATGTCATGGCGATTGCAAATAATAGAGTGTTTGCACATAACCGAAGATACTAACGGTGTTCCATAGAAATCTCTCCACCCGCCCGTTAGCGATTTTTTTTCCGTACGAAACATTTGCATGAAACTTCACTCGGGCCATTTCGGATTGACTCGACAAAGTTCGATACGAGGAACAAGAGCAGACACTTCGCAATGTCGTGACGCTCGAGTTTTACTATCATTGCTCTTTCTATGTTTACCTACGGTAGGCCTATGATATCTTACGGATTTATGGGATGTACGTGTGTAACTCTGTCTCTTATACACATCTGGTATAATAAGAATAGCTATAATATCTACAACAACAACAGCTAGTACCCCCTTTTATAAAGTGTTGATAGGTACAGTAATACCAGAGGCTAGAGAGAAAGAGGATAAACTATGACACCAACAGTCACGCTTTACATACAGACGTTCATTGAAATTTTGAAAAAAAAATGGAAAAAAATTAAAGCATGAAATTAAAAAAAGTGCATAAGAGAAATATTATTAAATAAAATATACCATTCAGTGGCGTTATTAAACTTGACCAACCTTGTAATGTAATTAATGTCAAATAATAATAATAATAATAATAATAATAATAATAATAATAATAATAATAATAATAATAATAATAAAAATAATAATAATTTCAGCATTAATTACCATGACCTAAGCCTTGTAATGAAGAACCATACTATTTACTAGGCCTATAAATAATAACGTGCCCAAGGGGAATATCTTTTGTGTTATTTCCCTTAACGTCGATTTGTTTAATTGTTCTCTAATTCCTCCATTGTCTAAGTTCCCCTTAAGGTAGGCCTACAGGTTGGTTTTAGTAACATAATAATAATTAATAATAA